CTGCTGAATTCTGACTGATCGGAGATAGGTGATTTCCTGGTAGCTAATGGCCAATTTCCCAGCAGTAGGACTACAGCACAATCATAGAGATTTATCGTAATAATGAATTGATTTCCCCCCTCAGTATGTGATGATCTTAAAGAGCATGATTCCCACTCCTATTAATAATTAATCCTGCATTTCAAAAGTACCTAAACTCCTGTATTTTAGGGACTTTTAAAAGCCAAGATCTTACTGCATTACCAGTGGGTTGGGGAAAGAACACACATGAATAAATAAAAGCTTACAGTAAATAAATACATTAGATAAATACAAATGAAGTACTTTCCATTATCAGTATTTGTGAGCTTAGCTTTAACACTTCTATTCCAGAAGGAACAGAGTAAAAACAGGTAGGAACTTGTCTGGACTTGCTTGGGAGGAAGTTGGCACATGGTACTTCTAGAAGAGATTTTTATTATGCAATCACCCTGCCTCATTTATGCAGTTTTACAGGTATCCAGAAGATGGGGTATTTTATTTAGACCTCCCATGTTTTCCTAGTGCTTCTGCTGTAATTCTTCATTCCATAAATGAATAAATATTCATCAAGATCCAAACACAGAAGAGCCTGTACAATGTCTTTGATTGGTAGCATTCAAAGCTATTTGCCTGGAAATTCAAAAGTAGGCTGAAGTGATGGAAGCTGCTTGGAAGACAATGAAGTAGGGAAAAGTGGGATTGCAGATATACAGCCCTGAGAAGGAGGAAACTCCCACTCATACAGTCCAGAGAACAGCATGCATCAACATGGCACATGCCAGAAGTATTGGATTAGAACTCCCATTATCCTGGCTGGAAATGTTGGGAGTTGTAGTCCAACACATCTGAAGATCCCCAGGCTGTAGAAGGTTGTCCCATAAGCCAGCATATGCATATACCTATAGTGTGCATGTACCTACAGGAGCAGCTTATAAGCATACTGAATATGCTTTACTTAGAGAAGGTGGGGAAACTGGAAGCAGTTTTACTATAACTGCCTTCTTTACTCTCCTGAGAATTCAAACTGGAATTAAGGAAAGGAGTTCCACTGCTGCAGCTGTCACCTTCAGCTTTCATTTGCCCTGGCCGCACAACATCTGTGTTCCTTTTCTCTGTTCCATATAGGATAGACCCATGATAGGAGGATAGTTGCATCTCTACAGGACTTGACCCAAGAAGGTGGCAAACCCATTCTAGTATTGCACTGTCAACTGTGGTATAGCATGATCATTCATGTTTTGTGTGTTTGCACTTTGGAGAAATTCTGATAGAGCGGGCTTTCCCTGTCCATTGCAATGAACGAAGGAATCGCCTCACTCTGATGGTAGTCTTAGTTATTTAACTTGAGGAGAAGTATTTTCACAGCTTTTTGCATAACATAAGGAACTAGCCTACCACTGATGGCACACTCAGTGATGTATTTAGATCACTGAGTTCCCTAGAGATATTTTTTCTAGAGATATTCATATAAGGTTTATGGCAGTACATGCATTTGTAATTATGGGTTGTTCGTAACCCGGGGACTACCTGTAATCTCCTAATGCCCCCCACTGCCCCTTTATCCTCACTATCCCCCTGGATCTTTCCACCACCCGCTTTGGGAATCACTGATTTAATATGGACCCTACCCTCTTTTTATTAGGAAAAATTGCAGTAGTTTAAACACAAATAAAATTGATTTGTTTTAATAACAAAATGAACTAAAACACACAAATCCACAGCAGAATAAAAAAGCACCTTTCCTAATAAACCTGATTGTTTCATGCATGGGCCTCAAGATGGAATCAAGGAGTGATGGACCCTGCAAATGTTACTCTTTCACAGCAGTAGGAGCAATTTACCACCCAGGTGGTAGCCAGAGGCAACTGTCAGTAGCAAGCAGCATGGCTAAGAGTGTTGATTTGATACAGAGTTAAACACTAGCACCAGGACTGTTTATGTTGGTATTGGTAGCGCAGCCCTGAGAATGATAGCAATCATAGCAATCAAATGGACCCTGTCTTATCATCATCAAGCACCACCCTTACATAGACAATTTAAAACAAATTCTTGTGAGCAACCATTTTAAATTGGTAATGGCTTCATATTGACATGGTTGAAAATCTCTGCATGTAAAATATTTGCTTTTAAGCCATCTGTACTCAACGACAGCAGGGACTCTTAGATCATCAAGAGCACAGAAGAATCACAAAGGAAAGGAAACCCTTGCTACTTTGCCATGGTAATTAGCAAATGTAACAAATCTTGAATGCATGCAAATTGGAAAGTGCTGCACTAAAAGAAGAATTCCAGAATCCTAAAATGGTTACATTTATTAGGAGCTGATGCAAGGGGCCTTTCAAACACATTACTTCAAAGACATACAAGTGTGACTGTGAAGGAGTAAAGGAAAACAAAAATTTGTATTCAGTTTCTTCACAGCTTCACACACACTTAAATGTCTGCTGAAAAAAATACCAAACCTAGTAAATTAGTGCCTTACTGTGTATGTGGGAGCTTGAAAACTAAAATCTGATGTGTTCTTGATAAAGTCTGAAAAGGTGAGGATCATCCTACAATACAGGTATTACGAACTGTGTGACAAGGTGTACATGCTGGTAAGATGTCTTGTAGTTCAGGTTTAAAATTCAAGTACAATTAGCTTAACCCTGTGC